TTAAGCCTCGCGGTAATGTGAGGAGGCGGGGAACTCGACTTTGGTGCTTGCAGTATTTTTGATGATGGCTTTAATTAATTGTATTTTGTTTCAGTTTGATTTGGTGTGCGAGACTGCAGTCTACCCGAGTATTGTTAACTCCTTGATCTTCCTAACCATGCTGTTTGGTGCTGCTATTGGGAGCGTTCTAGGAGACAAGTTTGGACGAAAGACTGTAGGGTTTCCATGCCTAGTTTTCCTTTGTCTCTGTGGATTGATATCAGCTTTTGCAGGAAAATACTGGGTGTTCGCCGTATTTAGAACTCTTATGGGATTCGGTGTAGGTATGTTTGAATCAGAGCAGTGGGTGTCACTCGTCTTTCATTTGGACGTCTTACATGTGCCAAATTCAATTCTAGTAATATGTACTTATTGACTGAGTGGGAGGGCCGTACGGGAAAATATTTGGCTCGAGGTTATGCCGTACGGAACGAGCGCAGCGAGGTCCGTACAAATGACCGAGAGCCAAATATTTTCCCGTACGGCCCGACCTAACTCAGTCAATAAGCATTTTATCATATGACAGCGTACAAATGACCGAGAGCCAAATATTTTCCCGTACGGCCCGACCTAACTCAGTCAATAAGCATTTTATCATATGACAGCGCTTTTTAATGTAAAAAAATAAATAATAGCGCGCGGAACTTCAAGCCGGGAAAATACGGGTTTGTACGGACCTGTCGCGAAAAGGCGTACGGACCCCATCACGMGACCATTTTCCAAAGGTTTCAGTGAGAGCGCGCGTAGGGCCGAAATACGGGTACTTGTGAGATTCTAAATTAAAACCAGTCTTACAGTCTTACCAACACCACGAAAAAGATTAATTCCAATTATTATGCCAGCTGTCACTTGTGGTGATGTTTAAGGAAGCAAAGAGTTGCGTGCCTCATTTTCAGGATTATAGATGCCTTTGAATTCTCCAATTTCGAGTTCTGGTTTGCTCTGTGTTAGCCTCAAAACGAAGTAACATATTCTTTTGTTTCATTGATAGGCCGAGAAAACGCATGGAATTTGAAAAGAAAGACAATAGATTTGATATGAAATCTCACACTTTTATTCTCACAATTACGAATATTTTGCGCACAAATGAGGCTAACACAAGAAGAATTCTAAACTGGATTATTGTTTGATTTGTAMATCGAATAATCATTGTTTTKTTAAGGTGGCACGATTACCTGTTTGTATATACTTCTTCTGGAATTCGTTGGTCCTGCATATCGTGCCAAGGTGGGTGGAGGTGTGAATTATGCCTGGACGTCATCTGTCGCCACACTTGCGTTGCTTGGTTACTTAATTCGAAGTTGGCGCACATTGACTATCGTTGTCAGTGCACCTGGTTTGATTTTTTGGGTTTTCTGGTGGTGAGTAAAGCGATTTATGTAGATGTCGTATAACATCTTGACAAAATCGGCATCGCTATTTCTATCATGTTTATTCAACCACCATTGCCTTTCATCATATTTCATAGTTGACTTTCACTTCAATATGTTGTTAGGTTCACCCCAGAGTCCCTTCGATGGTTGATCAT